CAAAAGCTTTGTTTAATAGAAATATCAGTTTTGCCATTGAAGCTGCGCTAATTTCTTTTTGTAGAAATGGATGTAAGATTTTCTGCTTAGTTGATGTTTTGTTCTGTTCTGACATTTCACTGAAATATTCGGGAAGAGGGAAGGGGCGGTCATTTGAATACATTTTTTTGCTGATCTTGAAACTCAACTTTTTTTAGTACGCATACGGATTTTGATATGTTATCTCAAGCGATTTCTAACTCAGGCTAGTATTCATGCTTACATCGCCGATCAACCGTTACTTTCAACGGTCATTGAGGCATATCCACAGTACTATCCCAAGTCTCTGGCAGTCTTACGAAAATGAACGGCATTATGAACCTGGAGAAGATGCTTTGAGCCGAACATGGCATGGTCTCACATACGACTTTCGGCGATGGAAACGCCGTTATCAGGAAGTGAGCTTTGTTTTGTAGTTCTGCAAAAGAACCGTTTGCTCTTTACATTATCTAGTTTGAGCCTCTCTTTGAATAAGATGGATTACCAAGCCGTACATAGACTTATTTTTACTCGCAGGCCCGCAAAGATGCTTTCCGTCGTCGAAATCCAATCGCTCATATGAAACAAGCTGTGCAGGATGCTGAACTTTTTCCGTTTCGAGCCGAGATTCTTATCATAGGCGGTGGACTAAGCGGTCAATTTCATTGCAAAGTCGTCATTCTAAAGATCTTATTGTTGATTTTGTAGGATCTTCTACCGCTTACTGGTTGAAAGAACGCTTTCGTGATGAAGACTTCAAAGTAGTAGTAGTGGAAAACAATGATAAGTACGTATATTTTTTCACTTAATTTTGCAATCATCTCATCAGGTTAATATTCTTTTCCTCTGCTCGTGCCGCATAAGAGTGCATTTCATGAGCATCTGCTCTAGTACTTTTGGTCTCAGAAGTAACGAACCAGAGCTGTTGTAATGCGCTTGATATCTTAACATCAGCTCATGAACACATATCACTAGCTTTACATTCAACTTGTAAATTCATGTAGGCTATAATTCGTTCAGAAATGGCATTGACGTTAACAAAAATAATAGCGATTTAGCTCCCCTCACCCTTCAATTTCGATACGAATTTGTTTTTTATTGTAGATTTACTCAAAGTTCAACTATGCTTTCTACTGGCGGCATATCTCAGCAGTTTTCTATTCCTGAACAT